TGTTTTAATTGGATTTCCCTTCGCTGGGTAATTTCGAGGTCTTGCCAGCACCCATCCTGCGCACTGCAGCTGGGCGGTCCAAGGTGCTGCTGTCAGTGCCCGAGGCATAAGCACTATGGCAGAAACACCCTTTTCCCCATCTGTGTTTGTAAGACAGTCTCTTTCATGCCAGCCAGAACTATTTTGGGAGGGTGATTCATGTCACATTTTGGCCTCATTACAGCTTTAAGTTGTAAATGGGGCTGGTTTTGCCTGGAGGTGTAAACAGACATTTTATCTTTATTTGCACATGGAAATACCTGGGACTGGAAAAGTACTTTCTATTCTTGAGTTCTGTTTTAGGCTGTTAACAGGGAGGCTAACAAGATAGTTATCAAAATTCTAATTTTGGCTTAGTAAAAGCCTGCTTCCGAAAGAATACCAATGACTTCCGGCCGTGCCTCCATTTCCAAGCACAGGTGGAGAAGCCCAAGAACCTAATGTCTTATTGTTATAAGCAGTCGGTTCTGTAAAACAAATACACACTGTGCTTTCTCTAGTGAAACCATGTGAAAAGTGAGAGCAGATGCTAAATTATTGTCTGCAGTTTGAAGAAACAGAAGGGACAAGATTATTCAAAGTTTAGGTACAGAAGATAAAGAAAGATGCAGCTATTCTGCATTTAAATCACAGCATGAAAATGATGTAAAGAAATGACAGTGAATTTATTATTCTTTGCTGTATGCCCATTTTGATGGCCATATTTCTTGGATAGAGTAATAGGCTTTCTGATCTGCTGATAGTAAGACCCACCCCATCCCTCTTTGGACATGTGCTTTGCAAAATTATTTTCGAATTCAGCTGTGGGTTGGTCCTGTGCACGTGGGTCATCTCACTCATGGCCATTTAAGGAGTTCTTGTAATTTTTAAGTAAGATCCCTCAATTAATAATAAATGGAATGCATTGTGAGATCTTTGATTCTAAAGTGCTGATTTGAAAATATTAGTGGGGGCGGCCAGTTAGCTCAGGTGGTTAGAGCGCAGGCTCTTAACACCAAGGTTGCCAGTTCGATTCCCACATGGGCCAGAGAGCTGCGCCCTCCACAACTAGACGGAAGACAACGACTTGTCTTGGAGCTCAGCTGCGCCCTCCACAACTGGATTGAAAACAACTTGACTTGGAGCTAATGGGTCCTGGAAAAAACACACTGTTCCCCAATAAAGTTTAAAGAAAGAAAGAAAGAAAATGTTAGTGATTTGAGGGTGCTTAAGCAGCTTTGCCAATTCAACTGCATCCGGCTTCATGGCAAAATCTGGCCTTAGTTCCCTCAACCTGTTGGAATCTTCCAGCGATGACAAATGACATCTACTTCCCCCCACCCCTTTTTCTTATGTTGAGACTACCTTTTATCTTCTCTTGGTTATCCAGGGACTGCCTCATTCACTAGCCCAAGTCTGTACTTTCAGATTTAAATTGGGTGAGTCTGGGGTGGGGCCTGAGCACTTACTATTAAAAAACAAAACAAACGCAACCAGAAAGTTCTCCAAATGATTCTGATGCTCTTAAGTGGACAACAGGCATCAGTTAAATAAAGGACGTGGTTTGAAACCCAAATGTCAATATGGACACAGTCTCTGAAGTTCTCTCTTGTTGGAAGTTGTTAACTGGATTTAGCTGTGACATCCGCATGGTGTGACTGAAATTATTATTATTATTTTAAATTTTATAGCAGAATTTATTAATAGATTAGTTTTTTGTATGTTTGTTTATGGTGTGACTGAAATTAGACGACTACTGAAGCTTAAGTATGTATCGTTGCTGTATTTCCTATTTCCCCTTTTGTCTTCTCAGCCATCATGTATGTCATGGGAGCACTTGGTCCTGCAGTGGGATATTTATTAGGTGGACTTCTTATTGGTTTTTATGTTGATCCCAGAAATCCTGTTTACCTTGACCAGAATGACCCTCGTTTCATTGGAAACTGGTAAGAACTGTTGACTAAATTTTTTTCATTTCACTTATTATTCATGATAGAGTCAGAGTGCCCTTGTAGTTGAAATAAAGATGTCCCCATTGGGAAGATGAAAAAAATAGCTAAAAGTCACCAGGAGGGAGTGGTAGGCAACATAGTACCCCCCCCCCAATTATCCATGTCCAAATCCCCAGAACCCATGAATGTGTCCCTTTTCATGGCAAAAGGGACTTTGCAGATGTGATTAAGTTAAGGATCTTGAGATGGGGAGATTATCCTGGATGACCTCAGCAGACCCAATATAATCACAAGCGTCCCTACAAGGGAAAGACAGAGGCGGGAGGGTCAGAGGAAGAGAAGGGGATATGGCGATTGAGGCAGAGGTTAGAGTGATGTGTTTGAAGATGGCGGAGGGGACCACAGGCCACGGAGTGCAGGTGGACTTTAGAAGCTGGAAAGGAAGGAAACAGGTTCTCCCCTAGAGCCCCCTGAAGGAACGCAGCCCCGCCAACCCATTTTAGACGCCTGTCCTCCAGAACTATAAGATAATACATGTGTGCTGTTTTCAGCCGCTAAGTGTGTGTTAACTTGTTATTGCAGCAATAGAAAACTAATACCAAGGGTTTGGGAACATCAGCTTAATCCCCATTCTTTTGGATGGGGATTGTTTCCTTCGTAGAAGAATGGAGGTAAAGGGTGATGTGGCTTTTCTGTGCTTTTTAAAACATATTTTCTTATTATGTTGTGTTTCTGCTTTGTCCAGTGCCCAGAGCGCCAGCTCCGCTTTTCCATTGTCACACTCTGAGTGAATCAGTCGGTTTAGTCAGTAATAGCTCGTCTCTCTGGGTGTAGTGGAGATTTGGCTAGTCTCTCACTTGCTAGCCTGTAATTGTCTTGCTAAATAAGTAACATTTAGGACTGAGAATGAGAACTCCACTGTGGACGTTAGGTTATTTATCCAAACAGCCAGTGCTATGTCTGAGTTCTTCATAGCCCTCAACTTGAGTTTTATTTTTGTTTTTTCCCCCATGATTGTAAGGGCTACCTGAAAGTGTTGGCTTTCCAAATTCATTTCACATGGATTAGTAATAGGTATACATTGATAAGAAATTTTCATTTTGTAACATGTTCATTTTGTAACACTTGCAGTATTAGAAATTAGTGTCAAATAATTGCTTTCTAAAGAGTTTCTTAGAGTACTTGTGTTCTTGCTCTGCTTCATTATAAGATAACCTCATAACCCTGAGGTACATGGGAATAATATTTACCGCTACCTATTTTTAAAACAGTTAACAAATATTAATTAAGCTACCCAACACTTCTTTTTTGCCTAAGTAATGCTCTTTGAAGATGGAAGTGCTAAGAGCTAGATGAGCTGGGCCTGGCAGAATTTCGAAATCACACAAAAGGAAGTTCCCTTGTCAACATGAGGGGAATAACACAGGAGTTTTAAGTTCTTGACTGATAGTGAAATTTTTGGTCTTTACTGTTTTCTTTGCAGTTTTGCAATCAATCAGAGCAAGGATTTTTTTGTTGTTTTTGTTCTCAAAAAGCTAGGTTATTAAAATATATTTGCGAACATCCAGTGTATATTCTGTGTTCTATATAGATGCCCCCCAGAAGAACGTGGTAATAAGAGGGAAAGGCGGAGAGGACCACCTTGGGTAGGGAGAAGGAAGGAGGCAGTAGTGTTAGGCTTATGAGTACTGTATATGCTTTAAAAAGCTTTCTAGTAAATATCAACTCAACTGGTAGCAAAGTGAAGTGACTAAGAGTGCAGACCCTGGAGCTAGAGTCCGCTGGATTCAAATCCCAGCCTGGTCACCTAAGGGCTGTGTGACCTTGGAGAAGTTACTTAGCTTCTCTCTGTCTCAGTTGTTGCTGATGTTTTTTAAATCCATAAAATGGAAGTAGTTACAGGACCTACTTCATAGGATTGTTGTGAGGAGTGAATGAGTCCATACAGGCAGAGCTCTGTAGTTCTTGCTGCATGGTATGTCAGCTATTACTCAGTCCTTTAATTTCATCAGTGTTCAAGGAGTTTTATTCATTTTTAGTGGCCCAGTATTAGTTCTACAAATGATAAATTTCTCAATATGCAAACATAAATAGGGGTCTATTTAAAAATAATTTTTTAAAATCTATTTTTTGTTTGATATGTATATTGTTTATTAGTTTCACATGTAGAAAACAACATAATTATTAGACATTTATACCCCTCACAAAGCGATAACCCCACCAAGTCTTCTACCCATCTGACATCGTACATAGCTATTACAGTACTATTGACTATATTCCCTATGCTGTAGTTGACATTCAGTATTATTTTATATTAGTTTCAGGTGTACAGCACAGTGGTTAAGCATTTAGATAATCTATGAAGTGATCCCCCTGATAAGTCCAGTACCCATCTGACACCCTAGATAGTCTTTACAACATTACTGATGATTGAATTTTGTTTATTGAGTAGCCCTCTTTGTAAGACTTCCACCTTGAATAAAGACATAGTAGTTATTTTATACAATGTTATTCTATACCTGCCCAGCAGAATGATATGTTTCTCAATAACTATGCTGAAAGAGTGAAGGAAGGAAAGAATGAATGCTGCTAACATTCATTGGGAGCTTTCTATGTGTCAAGCATTTACTAAGAGCTTTACACACATTTTCATTTAAGTCTTATAACAACCATTTGTAGCCACTAATATTATGCCCATTTTGCAGATGGGGAAATTGATGCTCAGTGATTTGAATAACTTGCCCAAAGCCTCAGAGTCAGAGAGCTGACTGAGTCCAGGGTAGATATTTTAATCCATATACTTAACTGAGCCCCTCTGAACAGTCTCTGAGTAATGGTTCATTAAAAGGAGTTAGGGACCCTGGCTTTTCAATTTTGGCTCTTATGTATCTGTATTTTTCCAACATATAATGCACACTTTCTTGTCTTACTCAGCTTTTCTCAGGGTCCCCTTTAAGTACCATCATCATATCATATACTAACACCAAACTGTATTCCATTGAAAAAAGTGGGCTGGTTAGCTCTGCTTAGAAATGTCCCTAAACTTTAAAAAAAAGATTTTTATTAAAATATAGCTAACATACAATATTAGATTAGTTTCAGATATACACCATAGTTATTCAACATTTATATTCAACTCACTAAAGAAGTGATCACCATGAGAAGTCCAGCAACCATCTGACACTGTACCACGCGATCACAATATTATTGACCATATTCCCAATGCTGTACATTACATCCCCATGACTTATTTGTTTTATATTTGAAAATTTGGACCTCTTATTCTCCTTTATCCTTCCCTCCTTTCCCAAACTTTTATATTATTGTTTATTTGCTATAATTCATCCCCTTCTTCTGTTATTTACTCTTACTTTAGGCTTCTATAAGTGTATCTTTAACGTTTGCATATAATTTCAAGTCAATGGCTCTGGGTGGGGGTGGCGGGGGCCCGAGTGCAGATCTACGTGAAGACCAACAAAATAGTACTGAATTGATTGCTGCTGGGACAGGCATTTTATTAGCTCCATTCTATACATTGTCTTATTAATTTTGATGATCCCCATACAGTTATTATTACCCTCCTTTCAGATGAGAAAATGTGTTCAGAAAAGCGAAATATAGGTTTCCTAGGATCTTACAGCTAGTAAGTGGTAAAGACAGGATAAAACCCAGGTCTGTCTGAAGCCACAACTCAGGTATTGTCCCTTACACTATGCTGCCTGCCCTCTTGTGGAACTGAAGGCTCAGGAGACTTGATTTTAGGGTTTGCGGAAACATTCAAGAATGGCCGATGAACAGGGCCCTGTTAGTAGAGGCCTCATAAGCAGCCAAGTACTAAAGGGGCCAGGTATTATAATAGCTATGTTCCCTGCAGACAATGACTTTATTTTTTAAAACCCATTTCATTCCATTTATTTATTCAAGAAACTTTTTGAGTACCTGACATGTGTCAGGCACTGGGTTCGTGATTATGTTCTAAATAATTGAGATTGCTGCAAGTCTGCCCTGAGCAATCCCCTCAAAATACAGCCTCTTTCTGATTGTCTTAAAATCTTTATTTGATACAACTTTAAACATCTTTGAAAATAGCATACTGGATTATTAATGACTGGTTCTCGGAATCAGCCTTCTCAGCTAAACTATGACCTTTAGCCGCTAATGACGCTTTAATAGAAACACTCTTTTTATAAATGAATTTTCACTTTGCAATTGATCTATAGTCTTGCTGGGTTGAATTCAACAACATTCATGCTTAAAATGCTGCTGGCGTTCCAGTTACAACTGACGGGAACGTGTTGAGACAGAGGACAGCATCTGAGCGTCTGTGAACTTGGAAACTTTAAGGACAGAGTTTGGAGTTGAGGAATCCTAGTTAGAGAGTGGTGGCCCTGTTAGGTAGGACCTGGGGCCTCTGTTTGCTAAGAAAAAGTTGAAAGGGGACTGAGACATTGCCCCTGGGGAATTATGCAGGCAAGAAGCCTGAGGCTTTACCACAGGGTTCCAATGCTGGACTAGAAGCTGGTGGTACTGTCTGTATTTGCTTCCTGGTCTCTGCCGCGCGGCAACCTCAGATGAGTTCAAGACAGAATCTCCATTCTGCTCAAGTTCTACTTCTAGGATTCTTTCTGACATACATTTTCCCAATCTGAACCATTATAGCATTCATAGTCTATAGGACATGACCTAATGCTTCCATTGTATACATCCTTGCATTTCATGGAGATTGTTTCTTATATTTTTAGCTCAAATGAAATACATGTCTTTGGTGGCCCTCATGGTTAAGTATCATGAGGGGTAGCTAAGAGGGGTCAATACATTCTTAGGTGCTTGTAGAAAAATGTTGGAGTGCCCTCAGCCATTTAGCATACATTTCACATGAGATATTAATGGTTTTCTTCTAGGAAAAAAGCATCTATATTGGTCCACAAAGCATGCTATGGCGTCTGTATTATTTTTCTATTAAATTTATGAGTTCACTGATTTATTACAACATACACATTGTCGCAGGACTAACATGTTAACTAGCAGAACTAACACATGTGGTTAAAAATACTTGAATGAAATTCCAGTCAGGTTGCTGATTATAATATTCATTGTAATGCGAGCGTAGTTAATGGGTAGATTTCTCATTTATACCACAGAAAGGGAGGATCCCTGTATTTTTAGTTGTCCAGCTTCCTACGGCTTTACAGCTGATGAAGGTAAGACATTTTCGCTGGAGAATTTTAGCGCCACAAACTTGTACTTTGCTAATGTGTTCTCATTCATAATGCAAGAGCCATAAATGCTATTCACGTTTCCCAATTTTTTAGGTGGAGTGGATTCCTCCTTTGTGCCATTGCAATGTTTCTTGTGATATTCCCAATGTTTGCTTTTCCAAAAAAGCTTCCGCCTCGACACAAGAAAAAGAAAAAGAAAAAATTTTCGGCTGATGCTGTTAGTGATGACGATGTTATGAAGGAGAAATCAAACAATAGTGAACAAGTGGACAAAAAAGTTTCTTCTCTGGGATTTGGAAAGAATGTCAGAGGTAAAGTATATCTTTTTAATGACTATATGTGCGGTACTTTAGATCCATGTTACTCAAACCATCGTCCTGGGCCAGTGCTGCCCAACCAACCGTTACGGGTCTGCTACAAGATGAGCACTGCAATTGAGAATATTTAGGAACTTTTTAAGAAATTTGACAGAGCAGTATTATGCCTGTTGAATCTACTACTAATAATTTATTGGTCTTATATTTTGTATGTTTTAAAAAATTCATTTTCTAATGTTTCATCTTTAATGGATTTTGTAAAAGTATCAGTACATGATAGACTGGAAATAAGAATAATATAATAATAATAATGGTGATAATAATAAAAAAGATTCTTCCTCATAGATTGTTTGGGAAGCACTAATTTAGATCCAAAGGTACAGATAGTTATATTTATCATTTACTATATTTAAAAATGTTTGATTTTTTTTTTTAAGTTTATTTCATTGGCATTGGGGGAGGGGAACAGCATTAGGGAATTGGGGAAGGGAACAGACAAATTGCTGTCCTTTTGTTCTTCAGTCTAGTTGTGGAGGACGTTGCTTCATTGGCCCATGTTGGTATTATGATCATTGCACTCTTCCCGGGTGAGGCAGATCGGTCGCCGGCCACTGGACGGCTGCTCACGGCAGCTCTTGGCAGCTCATGCCGGCTGCCAGCCACTCACGGTAGCTCACAGCAGCCCATTGCAGCAGGGGCTGCAGCCTAGGCCATCACTGGCGACTCACAGCAGCCCAGCTCCAGGTCGAGCTGTAGTTCACCATCTTAGCTGTAGAGGGCACAGCATCACTGGCCCTCATGTGGGATCCGAACTGGGGCCCTTCTTCTCAGAGCTGATGTCCCAAGCCAACTCCTAACCAACGTGCCACTCGGCCGGCCCTAAAGCTGTTTGATTAAAAAAAAAATACTTATTGCATTGTATAATGGATAGTTTGTTTCAGGGGAACGGTGGGTTTGGTAGTATGGCCTGATCCTGACATAAGTATAAACCTACCACTAGACAAGGGTCTCATTCAACAGTGGGTCATCAAAGGCTTGTGGATGTCCAGAGAGAAGGGCAGCCTGGGGTTGGGCCTCCAAACCCAGTGTAAAACACCCAGAAAGTCTCAGTAATGTGGATTGGGCTATTTTTTCATTTTTATTTCTCTTAAAAATGTCTACATTATTAAAGGTAGACGAGGCAGTTCTCAAACCTAAACAAGTTAAATGAATCTTAACTAGCAAATCTTTGTCTAGTAGTCAAGTACATTGGGTGAGAGGCAGTAAATCCCTTTAATCCAAAAAACCTACAATGCTACACTCTCATTAGGTCCTGCTGTTTCCTGAATTCCCTGAATTGATTTTTTTTTGGAAATTGTGAAGCACAATATTTATCAAGTGCCTACATTGGTCAAGGTTGTTTTAGGTAAAATTTACCTAGGCGCATTATTCCCTCCCTTTGACTAGGTACACAGTAAGGCCAAAAAGGCACCTGTCAGGCCCAGAAGGAAGGTACTAATATATTATAAACTGTTCCCGCAGCCTAAGGACAATAATGGTTAAATTGGACTATTTTTAAAGTCTGTGTTTGTTCAAATCCAGTGAAGTGACATTTCATTGGAAATCCTTCTTCCCTATTAAGCTTTAGATTTGCCTCCCTACCCCCTTCATCATTTAGTCACAACTTGTGCTTTTGGACCTGCCAAAATTGCTCCTGCTTTCAAAACATGAAGAATTTTCTGGATGCCGTTATGGCCTGAGCTCTTACCCTGTGGGCCAACCCATCATTTTTCATGGTCGTATTACGGAGCACTACCACGGAGTGACTTTTTCTTTTTAATTTAGTTGAGAGCAAGGTTGATGTTAAAGAATTTACAATGCAGCAATAGACTTAGAATCTTAATTTGTGGAGAATATAAAGTAGGCTAAAGGGGAGAAATAGGTAAGCTAAAATGGTATATTTTATAGCTTAGGAATAGATGACTTGAAGGTGAAAGATATGCTCTGTTGGATAGAAGATAAAGGAAAGAGAGAAAGAGAGAGAGAGAGAGAGAGAGAGAGAGAGAGAGAGAGAGAGAGAGAGAGAGAGAGATCAATAATAAATACCAATGGCGGATACGACTGTTGATGGATTGGAGTTCTTTGGAGAAGGCAGTGTAGACAGAGCTATCAGCTCCCTCTCCATACTCCGACCCTTACAGTCTTCATGGCGGAGGCTTGTCAGTTGCCAGTACTTGCATCATTTGTCTAAAGGTTTTCTTTGTAGGCTGGGAAACTGCTTGGCTCTTGCCTGGGGCAGGTTCAAGTGCCAAGGAATTAGCACCCTGGCCCCCACCTCCCACCCCCAAAGCAGTGTTAAACAATGGCTGACAAACACCCAGCTCTGTCACCTCATGGGTGAGACAATTCTTGGTTGTGGCCCTACTTCCTTTGTAGGCTGCCCCCTCTGCCTGTGCATCACGTCCACACTCCCTGCCCAGCGTTTCCTGAACCAAACCAACCATTTGGACTTGAATCCTTCTCTCAGGACCTGCTTCTGGGTGGAGGTGGAGACGTGCATGCACTTAGACAGGCAGGTTCCAAAGTGGTACCAGCCATCACAGAATTTGAAAATTACTTTTTCAAAACTGAATCTATACACTATTTTATTGGTTAGGGATGGGTCTCTGCCATCTTTTCTCTGCTCAGGTTCGTGGTTCAGGATGTTTTCTTTTGAAAGAAAGAATCAAAGGAGTCTTTTAACAGTGATGGGTAGTTGGTGTATAAAACCTGTTTCCATTCTGATTTTCTTGTTAGCATTTCTAACAAATTCTCCACCTTCATAATCTGTGCCTTAATCATGACGACTGATCTCACTTCTGTGACTAAACCTCCTGAGTAGGACACAGAGCTGGTTCATTTCATTACTTCCACTTGTGCTGGAGTCTCTAATTGTATCTATACTAGAACTTCAAGAGACATTTTCTCCCGTTAAAAAGGAATCCTATTTTAATGGGATTATAACATGAAAATATTCTGCTCTAAATGGTTCAAATGATGTCGATGATACTGGGATAGTATATTTAATTAGAATGTATAACGTTAATTTATATTTATCTTGCACATATTGACTTCCTTTAGAGTATCTAATACCTATCACCTATAGAAAATGAAATTAGAACTATAGTGTAATATTTAACCTGATTTTCAAAAGAACAAATCAGATCTCTGGGAATCATTCCAATGTTGATGTCAACAGGGAAAGTCATTATTAGGTCTTAAATCAAAGAATGGTCGCTAAGATTTCATTTTGAGTTAAACCTGAGTTTGATTCCCAGGTCCTTTTCTCCCTTATTCTGTTTTCTGGAGCAAGGCTTCTTTGGGTCTTTATTTTATATATAAAATTTGGATACCAGTATGAGCTTCTTCAGAGAGGAGGTGGAAAGATAGCTAGGTTGATAACACAATACTTTCTTAATAAAATAATTCTTTCTTTAAAAGAAAATGATTTGTTCCATGCTGAATGGGGCCCTTTTGGAAAGTTCTATTGCTGAGAATACCAGGAGAAAATACTATTTCAGTTTCCGCCTCCATGTTTTAATGATAGACATTGGGAAAATCTGACTCAGTGTTTCTAGATTCTTATTATAAATTATGCAGGAAAAAGACTGTTTTAAAGCACCGCAGAAGAGAAAATAGCATTTTTAGTGTGTCTGTATCGCCTTTCCATAAAGAGATTAACATTGATCACATCAAAATCTTACCGATAAAAATAAACGCTTAAAATATTTAAGTGGATCAATTTTCCTGAGGTTTCAGGTCGAGCATCTTAAAGTCTTCCAAATTTAACTGGGTATCTTCCTAAATGGAAAACTTTTGGTGGCTGTTAATCGTAAGAAAAATTTTATTTTTGTGTCCACTTTTAATTTTTTACGCTTAATTGCATAACATTATCAAGTAGCATAAAATATAGCCTACTTTTCTCTGCTAGACTTCTGTCTGTGTTAGGGTGTAGTATGTTTCCAATACTAACTAACGGAGTTACTCTGAGGTGATGAACGGATTTAAAGAGGCCATTGAAAGTTACAGAATTTTGGTCACTGAAGGATTATGTTGTCATCATGTAATTCAACAACTATTTGCTCTATAGAAGGTGCCGTACTCCTTGCTGTGGCAGATATGAAGATGAGTGAGCTAGGGTTTGCCCTCAGAGAGCTTACAGTCCACTGAGGCAGGCAGGAGAAGCACAGTTAAGGAGGCTGGAGACAACGGTGTGAGGTTCAAAGGCAGGCAAGGGAACCTCTACTTGAGGGATCTGGAGAGGTTCCACGGAGGAGATGAGATTGGTGATGAGCCTTAGAAGACTGGGAGGATTTCAGTAGGTGGAAGAGGGCTGGCCGGAGTGTTCCAGCCAGAGCGAGCAAAAACCAGGAGGTCAGACTGGGTAGATGTATTTGAAGATGGTTGGTGTGTTGGATCAGCGTGGCAGAGGCCTGGGTGGATAAAGTTGGGAAGGCAAAGGTAGGGCCATATTGTGCAGAGAGAGCTTGAGTTCTATCATTTAACGGTATTTGTCCCTAATGGGTAGTGGGGGGGGGTCTGAGCAAACCTTTGGCAGCCCTCCCTCCATTCTGTGGATTAGGGAGGGAAAGGGGTAGAATGGAGGGTGGGGGCCCAGGTAGAAAGCCCAGGTGAGGGGTGATGATGGTTTTGGCGAATAGAGAAGGAAAGGACAGAAGCCTTTGAAACTGGTCTCCTTGCTTCTCTCCTCATCTTATTTCATTTGCTTTCAACTCAGCCGCCAGAAGGAGCCTGTTAAAATGCTGTTCCTCGGCTCAAAGCTTTGATGGTGTTTGATCTCACTCACAGAAAAGTCCCTTCCCTATACGACCTACTGGGGCTACAGTCTAACCCCTGGTTATCTGTTTGACCCCATCTCCTGACTGTCCCATTTGTTTATTCTGTGTCAGCCGCATTGGGCTCATCATGGGTCCTCACACGTGCCAGGCACACTCTCACCTCAGGACCTTTGCACT